TAGTTTACTTGGACAATAGTTTAATAAATTAATTGCAATAATGGAAATTAAAATAGCTTTCAAAACTCTCCACTAGACCAAAAAGCCATAGCCAGATGACTTTACAATGAATTCTACCAAACCTTTAAAGAAGAATTTATGTCCATGTTGCTCAGATTATTTTTAAAAAATTGAAAAGAGGGAATGGTCCCTAATACATCTTTTGATACCATTACCATACCAAAACCAGATAAACACAACACAAGAAGTGACAACTGCAGACCAGTATGCCTGATGAACTGATGCAAAAATCTTCAACAAAAATACTAACAAATCATGATTTAGTAAGATTTATCCCAGGTATATGCAAGGGTAGTTTAACATACACATATCAATCAATATAATATATATACCAACACAAATAAAGATAAAAATATACATAATACAGAGAAAATATTTGATGATGCCACATCCATTCATGATAAAAATTCTAAACAAGATAGGAATAGAAGGAACCTACTCAACATAATAAAAACTATCTTTCACAAATCTGCAGCCAAGATAGTACTTATTACAAGTGAAAAACTGAAAACCTTCCCTTTAACATGAGGAACAAGTCAAAGATACATCATTACTCTGTTTAATTTGGCTTTAGAGACTTTAGCTAGAGAAATTAGACGACAAGAAATAAAAGGAATTTAAATTAGAAAAGAAAAAATGAAACTATCACTATTGTAGATGACATGCCATATAGAGAAAATCTTCAAGATTCTATCAAAAAGCTATTAGAAACAACAAATGAAGAGAGAAAAGCAGCAGGTTTCAAAACAACAGATGAAAATCTGCTGCATTTTTATTAACAAAGCACAAGAAGAAAAAATAATTCCATTCATAATTCAAAAAAATTAAATACCTAGGAGTTAACCTAAACAAGTATGTGAAGGGCCTATACAATGATATTACAGTGTTATTAAAGGATTTAGTTGATAAGTAAATACAAGTACATTCCATCCTCATGGATAATGAGAATCAATATGTCAAAATAACTATTCCACCACAAATTTGACTTAATCCCCATCAAAATACAAATAATATTCTTTAGATTGTACAAAAAAAATTACTAAAATTTATGTGAAGCCCAAAACAGGCTTGAACAGCAAAAGCAAACCTGAGAGAAATGGAGGCCTAATGTTAACCTCATTTTAAACTATAAAGCAACAATAATAAAAACAATATGACATTTGCATAAAACATAGACTTCGGAATGAATGTAACAGGACCAAAATCCTAGATATTAGCCTATGTGTGTAAAGAAGCCTCGACTCATGGTAAAGAAGCCACAAGTATACGACTGTGCTGGAGAAAATGGATGGCCACCTATAAAAGAATGAAGTTGGATAACTTCCTAATTCCCTGTGCAAAAGTTAGTTCAATATGGATCAAGACTTAGGATAAGACCTGCAACAATAAAATATAGAGAATAAAATAATAGGCTTACAGTTTATATTATCAATTATAAAGGTGTTTTTGGATACCCATATGCAAGGGAAATAAAAGGTAAAGTAAACCATTGGATTTACTACAAATTGAAGAACATTTACACAAGAGAAAATAAAAGTGGATTAAAAAGACATCCCATTAAATGGGAGAAAATATTTGCATGATATACAACCAACAAGTTAGTACATAAGACATAAATCATATATAATTTATTATTTATTTATTTATGCATTAATAACTGAGGTGTAGGCCCGAGATGCAGTGTGTGAGAGGATTCACTCGAGACAGAGTGGGGTGCTGAGCAGGCAGATCTACTGAAATACACTGCTGAGGGGAACAGCTAGCAAAACAGGAGTGGTCTGCTGTGTCATGTGGGACAGCTCCCTGGCCAGGATTGGAACTCATGCCTCAGTGTTTGATGATAGTTTGTCAGTGCTGAAACTTTAACTCCTGCACAGGGAGGCCCGGAAACATATATAATTTGACAGTAAAAACCAAGCAACCCAATTAACAAATGGGCAGCTCAGAACAATTCACTAAAGAGGATATTTAGAAGGCCAATAGATATATTTTTAAAATGTTCATTGCTTTTAATAAGGGAGATGTAGAATTAAGCCACATGAGACATCATCCCACTGTCACGAGAACAGAATATATTAAACAGACCTCCAGCAAGTGCTGGAGAGGATGCAGAGAAAAAGGAACCCTGTTACACTGTTAACAGGATTGTAGACTGATGCAGCCATTTTGGAATATGATCAGAACTTACCTTAAAGAACAAAAAATGAAAATGTTGTATGACCTAGCAATCCTACTCTTGGGCATTTATCCAAAAATCTTGAAATTATATAAGTTCTCCCAGGACATAGAAACAACTTAAGTGCCCAATCAAGAAGACTAGAGCAAAAATGATGTGGTATGTTCACACAATTGAATGCATTTCACCCATAAGGAAATAAAAAGTGTTCCATATTCAGCAAAATGGGAGGACTTCAAAGGAATTATGTGGAGAAAAGCAACATAACGACCAAGACAAATATTGAGAATTTACACAGTAGGTGATTCAACACTGCAAACTACTTGCAAAACGAGCAGTTGCTAGAAAAAAGAAGGCGGATTTCTGAGAATAAAAGGAAGAGAGTAGAAAGGTCAAAAACGGGGTGCAAAGGAAGGTGTTAAGGAAAAATAAATATATAAAATGAAAGTTGCAGATATAAGTGTGTGCAGACTGTGTGTGGTTTTCCAGGGCCACTGGCTGCACAGAGCAGGATGCAGACTTCCTGTTAGAGGAAACCAAGAGGCAATACCAAGTAGTGGATGAGCCGCAGCCTTTTCCCTGACCTCCTGATTACCTTCAAGTCAAGTTTGCTAGAATAAAGTCAAGCTCATACCTTATTATATGCAGGAAAAAGCCCTCTCACAGTAATAGTAATGACTGATAATGTATAACCAGTCATGAGTGCTAACATTTGTTGAACACTTGCTGCATGCCAGACATTGCATCAATGCCTTATAGACATATCCTATTTTCAAAATGACTGTATGAGGGTGTGTGATTGTTTCATTTCAAAGATGAGGAAACATAGGTCAGGGAAGTTAATGAACATGTCTCATATCATATCTATAGTGAATTCTGGCACCAGAAATTGAGCCCAGACTGTCTGATTCTAAAATTTGTACTAATCTCATTTGAACCTATAAACAAACACATGGGTTAAGAACCAATAATATGCCCATTTGTGGAGGAGAAGTAGAAAAATATAATGTTGTTTGGTTTTTACTTTTAAATTATTTATGTTTCTGGGCCTCCAGGCTGGTGTAGGAGTTAAAATCTCAGCACTGACAAGCTGTCGCCAGATACTGAGGCATGAATTCTATCCCTGGCCAAGGAGCTGACCCACACGGCCTAGCAGACCGCTCCTGTTTTGCCATCTGCTCTCCTTAGCAGCGTATTTCAGTAGATCCGCCTATAAATAACCCCATGGGTAAGAACCAATAGTATGTCCATTTTGTGGAGAAGAGGTAGAAAAATGAAATGGTTAAACATGGTAGAGGATTTTTGGGGCTTTGGTGATGAGGATGGTGTGAAGACATACAATTCTAGAGGTTTGAACCTGTCACTTCTAAAACAAATACAATTATATAAACCAGTGTTACTGCCATAAATGTAATGAAAAAGAGAAAAATACTGGCTTGTCAGACAAGTTATGATGTATTTTTTCTAAGTTTTTCAAGCAAAAATATGTCATGATTTTCCTGATATCCCAATATAATAGTTAGAAAATGTTAGTGTTAGAAGAGTCAGAGTTTTAATTTTGGCTCTCTCATTTATTAGTTCTGTGAATTAGGGGAATTTAAGACTTAAAGTTCTTCAGCTGTCACATTGTAGAGAATTTTAAATCTCTCAGGACCTGCCTGTTTTTGCTAACATCATTACAACTCTCAGATGTGGTTTTTTTTTCCTCCTAAATATTTTCCTGTGTCAGAAATAGTTGTGCCATTCCCTTAATCCCTTGGATGAAAAGGTGACTACAGTGTACTACTCTAATAGTAATAATAGTAAACATTTATTAGTTTAATAGTAAACACTTACAGCTTGCCAAGTGCTCCTAGTGCAGATCGCATTCAATCTTTATAACCACTGCATAAAATAAGTTCTACTCCCTCTATAATTTATAACTAGAACTCACCTATATCTCAGCACTTCATTTTTTCCTACCTACCACAATGACTGCCAGGGGGCTTGGGAGCTCTAAAAGGCCAATCCATGAAAATGGTTTGGAATTTCCTGCAGGAAATGGAACAAGCGGGAAACCACTAAAAAGGTTTGGAACTGTCCACTAACTGGTGCTACTGAGAACTGTGGTTACTTAAGGAATTTCTGTTTCCTCTGTTCTAACTTTTCTGCAGGGTAGAATCAAATACCCCTGGATCCACTTCAGAGGCTGATCTGGAGACCTAGTGAGGACCCAGTGGCTCACCTGGAGATCAAACAGTAAGTATTGCCACACTCCAATGGAATCTTACTGTATTGCAAAACCCAGGTGCTCTCTGCTTTTTAACAACCTTGAATGGCATTGAGTAAAAGATGCTAGAAAGGACAAGCACATTCGGAGCGATATTAGACTCCTATTACACGGCATACTTTTCTTCATTTTTGTTGTTACTTTTTTTGATTGCAGATTTATTACATTTTATTGAAAAACCATAGAATTTACCAAAAAGCAGCTAAGCTACTTAGTAACTTTCAGTCAAGATTTCGATTAAATTTAAAAATCTTCTCACGCCTTTCCTTACATCCTTGTCCTAATTTTAAAGACTTGGAGTCTGGGGTAGCAGACACCCAGGGCATCGCAGAGGGCAGCGGCGCAAATTCTCTCCCCTTCAATCCCAGCAGCCCGTTTCCCCCCTCCTCTCCCCCTTATTCTGGTGGCTTCCTATTGGTCATTGCCATGACAACCAGCAGCTGCCGGGGCAGGCAGCCTCTACCGCCGCAGGGGTGGGGCTGTGGGGGAGGGGGCAGGAGAGGCGGAGCCTGAGGAGGTGTCTGCTGCAAGTTCCTGGCTGCTTCTGAGCTCACCCCATCCTCCGAGAGGGAGGAGGCCAAATGGTGATGCTGCTGCTGCTGTAGCCTGTATGCTGATGATACTCTAGCGGGGCTGGAAGGGTGGTTCCTATTCGCACCACCGGCAACCAGAGAGGGAGGGAAAAAAAAAAAAAAAAAACAGCAGCCGCTGCTGATGCTGGGTTCCGAGGCTGCAACCGACTCGGTCACCAGGAAAATGGATTCAGTTTGCAGCTCTCCCTCCTTTCAACAGCTTCTCCAGGTCTCAGCAAGGTAAGCAACAGACAGCGGGTCTATCTCCTTGGTTTAGCTCGTTAGTAAGTGATCTGTGTATACATTTGTGGCCTGCACTTGAACAATGACTCCCTCCGAGTAGGAGAGGAAGATGTGGAAGAGAGATGGGGATGGAGAGAGAGGAAGGTTGCCAAGAAGAGAGAAGGCATCGCTTGTGTTTAAAAAAAAAAAAAAATGGTGTTCTGATTTTATCTTGCATTGGCTCAAATGCAGACTGAATCCTGGTTCGCAACAGAATCAGGTGGTGGAAAACGCTAACAAGAAATGGGTGATTTTGAAAGGAATCATTCTATTTGCGGCTCTCATATATAGGGTTGGGCCTCCTCAAAAACACATTTGGCTTCTCAAGCTTCCAGGCCTAATGATAAGGTGGTTCTGCTTATTTCCCTCTTTGCTAAGAAAAGCTGGCCTCAGAATTGAGCATCTATTTCCTATTCTAGTGTACAGAAATCATTTGAGGGATACAGAGACTCATTTTTAGGATATAAATATGATTGTGAAGTACAAATATATTCCCTATGAATATGCATGTCATATATACACATGTTTCTTTGCATTTATAGTGCATTTATGAAACATGTTTGTATGCAGAGTGCACTTTGCAATCATTTTTATGGGTTATAAATGCCCTTGCATGCTTGGAGGTAATTACATATTTTTTCAAACTATGCTTCTGGTTTGTATTATTATTCATTGGCTTCATTTGGATTAATGTGAGATTTATTCTTGTTATTGTCCCTTAGTTTCATTGTGACCAATTAGGACAGATGCCTATCATTTAATCTGTATCATAGCACTAGATGTGAATTTATAGCCTGCCTCTTTTCTTTATTTTAATTGGATATGTGGGGGGGTGCTTTGAGAGCCCTGAATTTATAATGATGGAAGGGAGGTGGCTTGAGGTATTTTGTGTACAGGATCTTGCCAGATGAATGTTGAAACAATTCAGTTTTCTTGAAATCCCACCTGAACCCTTTCATGTTTCTGCCTGTGTGTCCCAGAAAGCACAGATGAGCTGGAAGGTGAAATGTATTCATTTTGTGTAATACTTCTGTTATTTGATCTTCATTCCTTCAGTATCCAGGCACCATTTTACAGTTCTCTCAAATGTATTATGGGTCTACTTCCTTAGGTGATTAAGTAGAAAGTGGAATTGTTTTAAAAATCTAGGTGTTCCCGAGTACCCTAGCCATTTCCAAATTCGCTTGCTTATACAATAAAATCAAACAAGAGAGTGAGCAAAGCTCAGCACTAGAATGTAAGGCGTGAAGCTGGAATGGGGGGGGGGAGTATTGCAGTTTACAAATGCTTACTGGGTTCCCCTTGACCTTTTATTATCTCAAAGCTTTAAGGCAGCTCAGGAGACTAAAGATGCCTGAGATGAGTAGGGTACATGGCCCCATTACCACCCAGGATAATGGATTTCGTTGAATTAAAGCCAAAAAAATCCTTGCAAGTAAAAGTGTGTTAGTAATATTACATTCACCATATGGATGAGTTTTAGGCATCAGTCTCTTCACTAGCAATATAATATCACTGTCACAGCAAGTATTTTTTACTATGTAAAATAGCATTTTTTTTTCTAACCTCACATTTGATTTTACACAATGATTCTCTTCATTTAAAATTTTTACATATATTTTATCAGTTTTATAGTTTACTTTCTCTGAAAATTAATGTCCTACTTGGTTTATACGTGAGAAGCCTCTTCAGTGGCTTAATGGGAATAACGGACTTAACATATGTTCGTGGCATGTTGTAAATTATGTAGACTCACACTCTATAAAGTCATGGCACCAAGTGCCTAATTTTACCACTACATAAAGTAGTCATTATCCTATAAGGAAAGAGGTACTAGGTCTATTTGTCATACCAACATTTTTCTAACCTGTATTCTAAATATTTTAATGATAACTTTTAACTTCTGAAAGTGAAAATTTTAGATATATCTACAGTGTTTTTAAAAATTAAGGTACATAGTAGTTAACCCTATTTCATGCAATGAAAACTGTTATCTTGGAATATTATTTCTTTGTGTTTTCACTGCACTATAGTTTTTTAAGTGAAGTTGGTGTGGTTGGAGCCAAGTCAAATCACTGTAGGCCAGGAGGATAGAACTGACAATCAATACCATGTTTCAGATCCTGATGGGAATACAAATCTAGTTTTTGATCTATAACTTGAGACAATTATATGGCCTTTGCTGAGAAGCCACAGGAAAGTGACATATATTAACAGGATTCCATGTTGAATTCTTTCAAAAAGCATAAAAAAACTAAGATTGTTTTATTTGGGGAAGAACAGACAGAGATAACAATCATTTACCTCAGAAGAGCTGAGGATTTTTAAATAGGGCCTTGTTTAGTGCTATTTTTGTCATCTAAATTATGGTCAGTGGGCTTCAACTTCATTGGGAACTCTGAAATTAGAAATATAAAATGTAGAACTTTCTGATAGCAAATTTTGGTAGTTAAGAAAACAGTACATTGTTCTTTCCTCAAATCCTACAAAATTATCACCTACACATGCACATGTCTGGAATGGATAGATAATTGCCCAAGAACTTCTCAGGCTTTTTCTAGATAAATTATCCATTAAGGAATGTGTTTTAGCTGTTTAGCATCAGGTATTTCTAAGTCTGTAACAGTAAGACTCCATTTTGTAATGGGCTGGTAAATTACAGAATAGGGATATATTTAAGGATTTAATTGATCATCTGTCTGGAGAAATGTATGTGTCATCCTGTCAGGATGTGGGGAACAGAACACTGGCCTCCTCCTAAAAGTTCTTCCTCAGCAGCTTTCTGGAGTGTTATGCCTAAGAGCCATATTGAAATTATTACCTTTTGTATGGCTAATTTTGAAAGATGAAATGGGATTTAGTGGGGTCTAGATACTAAATAAGTCAAGAACCATCAAGTTGATCTTTAAGACTATATGCAAGTTATTGTTTAAATATATTCTTTAATAAAGCATATTAACTATACTTTTCTCAACCACTATCTTGAAAAATGCCATTGTTGTTGGCATATTAATGTTAAATCTTTTGACTGGTATCTTTACTTTAAAGCAAGTAAAACTTGTTTTAATTGAAGTAAAACACAAATTATCTAATTTCTCAGTCTATGATAGAGGATGTTCCTTATTTCCTCAAGTGACCTCAGACCATACTTCAATTGTATGTACATGCTTCAAATCTCCATCAAGATGACTTTAAAAACATCTGGAGAATGAAAAATGATATTCTTCATCTCTCATGGAGATGAATACTTTGTTTTCCATTGCTAAAGCCTTAAAAAAACCAAGTTTATCATAGAGTCCCACCCTCAATAATTCAAAAATACTTAAGGGAATAAATTAACTAGATTTATACTTGGGTCTAACTTTGGAGGTCAGTTACAATTTCTCTTGTTTATGTATCACAGCCATTATTCTATCAAGTAATAATGTGTTTGCAAACAGGATGGATTAATCAAGGACCAACAACTATTTGTAAAGCTCTTATATGATTAACACAATTTGCATATGCTAGCAACATAGAATTTCCTTGGGGGATATAAGATATACACATGTGAAATAATTCATGACAAAAACAGTGTTACTGTAACTGCTTCCATCATTGTACCTTTTATCAATGGCTTTTCTAGATCTCCAAGTCATTTTATAGTCTTTGTTTTTCATCTTATATTCTCAACAGTTTTATCATGCCAGTGAAGCTAGTGTCATCATAGTTTTTTTAAGTATGTGGAAATAGCCTGAGAGAGAGATTGGACTTGTCTAAATTTGTATTTGGTAAGTGGTCTTACCAAATACAAGTGTATTTGGGCAGGGGTCCCAAATCTCATGAGCTCAGATGTGTCATATTAAAAAATTTAGCAATATAATTTGATAATTTAAAGCCTACTTATTCTTATTTGAATATTTCTGGTGCCATGATTTGCTTTGACCTTAGTGAACTGCCAAACATCTTAAGTGTATGTATAGAGAACATCTGCCAAAATGTTATTAAAAAGTGCATACAAAAATTATCTTGGAGAAAATCTGAGATTCTTGCTATTTCATAAAAGCATAGAATTTTTGTCTAGAAGGGAATAAAACATTTATTGGATGGCTCTGCATTTTATTTCATGGCTTTGTATTTTAATATAAATTATGTATAGGTTGGGAGTAGTGTAACTTTTTTTTTCTGTGCTGCAGACCAAATTAAATTTCCTGTAAGTACTGGATCTTGAAAAAACTCCTATCTATGTCCTAAATAGCTCCCCACCTACATGTTTATAAAGATGAAAAATTATGTTAATCGTTAGTAAGTACACTTCAGTTCCACAGTTTTCTGATACATTCTGTTTAAATTAATATTCAGCAATACCATTACATTTTAGCTTTTAAAATATTTTTATATTAAAATATATTTTAAAATAAATATATTTAAAATAAATAAATATAAATATTATATTTAATATAAAATAAATATCTATTTTTTAAATTAAAAAATTTATTTATTTATGCTTACAGAACTGGGGTACTGGCCAGGTGTGGTGGGTGAGAGGGTTCTCCAGAGACAGAGTGGGGAGCAGAACAGGCAGATCTACTGAAATACACTGCTGAGGGAGCAGTGGGAGGGTCAGGAGAGATCTGCTATGCCATGTGGATCACCTCCCTGGTAGGGGATCGAACTCATACTGCAGTGGCTTCGGGGAGCTTCATAATGCTGTGCTCTAACCCCGTTGTGCCACCAGGGAGGGGCCTAAATATGTATATTTTATATTAAGATATACAAAAATAATATTTTTTTCTCATTCGGAGAAAAAAATAGCACAGACATATATAAAATGAAAATTACACATCAGCCTACTATCAAGAAGTAATTATTGCCAGTATCACACACTCAGATACAATTTTTTAAGTGGGACTCCAAGTATTTTATTATTTTTACTTTTGATCCATCTTTCTGTGTTAGTGAAATATATCTGTTCTAAT